CTTGCATTCCAGTCTTTGTTGCTGCTGTGCACTCTTTCCTTTTCTCCCCCTATTTTAATCGGAGTACAAATTGCTGTCAGCACATCGAGTTCATGTGCCAGCCACATTCAGAACAGGGTGTTCTGTGCTCTTCAAAACAAAATTGCTCTAGGGCAGTAAGAGAACAATAAGTCAGAGGCTCCAGTTTAAATGATGTTTTGCAGCGGACCAGGCACACTTGATGTGGTTACACTCAGATTGCGCAGCTAAACTTGGGTAATTTGGTTTGGTTTGACTCTGTGAGGTTTGCTGGAACTCCCTCCGTCCCCCTCCCCTCCTTCAAGTTACAAAGACTTTAAGTCAAGAGAAAATGTCTCTTTTTAACTTGTTTATTTCTTTCTCAACCAAAAAAGCCCTAAGTAGAAGCATCCTGTATGTACTTTTATTCACTTTGGCTACGTCATAGATCATGTACTTCCCATCAATCATGCTGGTTGAGATTAGCAACAGACCTCCTGAGCCCTTGAGGCTGAGCTTTCAAATGAGTCATGATTGTTATTATTAAATATTTATTACGTGAGTATTTGCACTAAGAGATACAAGGTCAAAAGCAACCAGAGCTGCCACGGTTTTCTTTGATAGCAATTGTTAGGAAAAGAGTGTAAGTGGATCTACAGGAGCTGGGCCACCTCTACATATATCACCAGAGGAGAGCCATGATCGTGGCTGTGGGCAGGCTCCTTAGTGCTAGGAGTACTTGTCAGCAGCCTTGTAGAACTTGTCACGCCAGTGTTCCAAGTTTAGAAACCAGTTAACTGGGCAAGTGATAGCCTTTGCTGCTTGTAGATGTAAAGCATCAATGGACTGTATGTATGTGTGTGCCCTGAGGCTGTGATACCTCCACTGTTCTGACATTCCAGATATCATCAGTGTTACAAGGTGGAGGCTTGTATTTACATATAAGTATGTCTTCATATCACTTAGATTTTATGGCATTGCAGCTACTGCTTGTTCAGGTTTAATTTCAGGGAATTTGATATACTGGGGGGAAATAGTATACACATAGGTATTATTTATAAGAACCGCCACAGATTTTTTTTTTTTTTAACCTTTCTATTAGATGGCCACAGACACTGTATCCACCATTTGTTGTCTCGGAGACCAGCTGTAACTAATATTGTACTTTCTTTTCTCTTTTTTTTTTCTTCTTCTTCTTGCTTCATTTGTCTTTCTCAACATGTTTATTAGTAAGCAGTCTTTCTTATTTCCCCCTAGTGCTGGGTGAAGAAATCTAAAGGGAAATTTTCAAATTATTTATATCATTTCAAGTACATGTGAGCTGAAAACCCATCTAGGAAACTGACACACACTCAGGAATCCTTTGCAGAGTCTTTGGATTTCCTGTTTTGAAAACACATTCGAACTTGATCAACCCAAAGCCACAACAAATGTACTGATAATTTCCTCCCTACTAAATGTATTCTCCTTTAGGGAGGAAGATCCTTCTAACAATAAACCTCAGGCCAAAAAAGAAAAATCTGTTTAAGTTGTGAGCTACTGGTATAATAAATCTCAATACTGGGAATATTACACAATACATGGATTGAAACTCACTTTGTTCAGCAAACCTTTTTCATGAAAAATGTGGCCATTAGTCTAAATTAAATTTCTTGTACATATTTAAATATATATAGGTGCACAAACTTACAGGAACTTTCAACCCCTTTATAAAAATCAACATATATTTCAGAAAAGTATCTTAAGCCTTAGACTCCCCCTAAAACTTCTTAATATGCATGTATTTGAAAGTAATCACCAGATCCTGGTGGCTCATGCTTGTAATCCTAGCTACTCAGGAGGCTGAGATCTGAGGATCTCTGTTCAACGCCAGCCCTAGCAGGAAAGAATGTGAGCTTCTGATCTCCAATAAACCACCAGAAAACCAGAAGTGGCGCTGTGGCTCAAGTGGTAGAGAGCTAGTCTTGAGCTGAAGAGGTGATGGTCAGCGCCCAGGCCCAGAGTTCAAGCCCCATGACCGACCCCCCACCCCCCAAAAAAAATTAGGTGCACAAACTTTAGGAATTTTCAACCCCTTTACAAATATCAGCATATATTTCAGAAAAGTATCTTAAGCCTTAGACTCCCCCTAAAACCTCTAATACTCATGTATTTGAAAGTAAACACCAGATGCTGGTGATGTCTGTAATCCTTCCTACTCATGAGGCTGAGCTCTGAAGATCATGATTCAAAGCCAGCCCAGACAGGAAAATCTGTGAGACTGTATTTCCAATAAGCTACCAAAAGCCAGAAGTGGCGGTATGGCTCAAATAGTAGAGTACTAGCCCTGAAGAAAAGAAAAAAATCAAGTTGTTGGTTTCTTTTTGTTTTTTTTTTTTTGGGGGGGGGGGGAGTGGTTGGTTTTTGTTGTTGTTTGTGTATATGTTCTCTCTCTTTTTTTTTTTTTTTTGGTCGGTCTAGGGGCTTGAACTCTGGGCTTGGGCGCTGTCCCTGTGATCTTCAGCTCAAGGTGAGCGCTCTACTGCTTGAGCCACAGTGCCACTTCCGGTTTTCCAGTGGTTTTATTGGAGATAAGAGTCTCAGGGACTTTCCTGCCTGGGCTGGCTTTGAACCACGATCCTCAGATCTCAACCTCCTGAGTAGCTAGGATTACAGGCGTGAGCCACCAGCGCCCAGCATGTGTTCTCTTTTTGCAGTGGTAGGGGTGTAACCTAGGACCTTGCATGTACTAGACAAGAGCGCTACTACTAAGCTACTACATTCCCAGAGATAGTCAAATTTACTTTTTAAATGTTCAGAAGAACTTTGAATTTACTGCAACTTACTGAATTTACTGATTAACTTATTTAGAGAGATCCAATGATGAATACAATATAGTGGGAATATTTGCTTTTCTGAGGATGGAATATAAATGCATATGCTGCCTCTACACTGAGAGTCTAGCATTAGTCATAGTTTGGAGGAGCAAACTCAAGATTCAGACCCTTTGTAGATTGACCCAAATTTCCTCAACTAGCCTGGGTCAGTGATGAGAGCAAATCAGGAAGGTCTTAAAACATAAGTATCCCAGTGACATTTGGGCCCAGTATCTATAACACTGCTGTTTTCTCTTCAAAGTTTATATCATTTTTCATGTCTGGGCAATATGATCAAAGGATTAATCACAAGAATTAGTTTGAAGGGCTGGGAAGGTGGCTCAATGGTAGAGTGCTTGCCTTGCATGTATGAGGCCCTGGGTTCGATTCCTCAGCATCACATAAACAGAAAAAGCCCGAAGTGGTGCTGTGGCTCAAGTGGTAGAGCGCTAGCCTTGAGTTGAAGAGCTGAGGGACAGTGTCCAGAGTTCAGGCCCCATGACTGACCCAAAAAAAAAAAAAAAAAGCTTGAAGCTAGTTTTAGACTTTATTGAGATGTATATTACTGGGTCATAGAATCAGAATTTTAGAGCTTTCAAGGGGCCTTTGAGATCGTAGAGTTAAATTAGGCTGGTATGACTGTAATTTCAGCTCTTAGGTGTTAAGGCAGAAGGATCTAAGTTCAAGGCCAGCCTAGCCTACATAGTAAGACTGTCCCCCCACTACCCCAAAAAAGAGATTTAGTTTGTATTTGGAAAGTAATAGTTGGTTTTTAGACATGTAATGAATATAAAAGAACAAATGATCTTATCTAAATAATCAGCCAGCCTTGAAGTCTTTTAGGAAATTACAGGTTTGCATATAGGCCATTATAATAAAGAATTTTCTTTTTTTAATACGTTTTTTATTATATAGAGGGGTTACAGTTACATAAGCAAGGTAATGAGTACATTTCCTACCAAGCATTACTGCCTCCTCCTTTATTTTTCCCCTATCATCCCTTCCCTCCCACCTCCACAACTACACCCTCCCCCCACCCAGCCTAAATTGTTTCTCAACATAGTGTCTTGTACATCTCATTATTACAATGGGTCAAACTATATCCCTATTTAAGCATTTTGTTTTTTCCTTTCCTCTCCCCAAATTAGAGAAGTGTTTATACAAGATGCGGGGCACTGACATCAAATACAGTGAGAACAGGGGAAGAATTTTCTTCTAAGAGAGAAATTATATTGCTTGGTGTCTGATACACTATCTCACAGGCCAACCATTTTTCTTACTGAATCGAAGACCTAAATGAAAAAGCATAATTACCATTAACACTAAAGGTAGTTGGAAGGTTTCAGAGAATTGTTTTTCCTAGAAAAATGAGTCTTAACTGATGAAGAAAATATGTGTGTGTGTTTCCTATTGTTTCTTGAAATAAGATCTGACACGAATTAACCCTGGAAATAGGCTGAGTGAATTTGGACAGTGTGGTGACTTAAACCCCAAGAAATTGACCTTTACTCTTAGCATGTTACCGAGGTTATTAAGTAATTTGTGAAGTTGCAGTACACAATTGATTCCTCCAGGCTTTGCATTTATTACTACCACTAAGGGACCCAGCTGATGTTATTGCCTTTACATTTTCTACTTTTAATCAGGAATATTTGTGAATGCCATTAGGACGTTCAAAAAACAAAGGGTTGCAATTAACTTGTGTGTCTTCTTGGGGAAATAACCACTCACTTGGTTTTCGTGCCCAATTATCTGAAGCCAAGATGCTATTACAGATGGAGGCCATTATATATTCAAACTTAAGTTTGTGGCATTTTAATAATTATCCAACATATCTTGACTTTGTTTTGCAGGTAAGGAATCTGTCACCTAGTAGGCTTAGATCAGTTCTAAATTTGTTTTGTTCTGTAAGCTGTCTTACTGATGTAACTATCAGTAGTTATACATTTAATCTAAAACAATGAAAAATATGGTTGTTCTTAACATTCAGATTGGGTGGCTAAGCTTCAACAAGACATAATGCAAGTGTCTCAATGAAATGAGAAAAGGGAAATGGTACGTGTTACATGTGTGGCCACCATGTACCACTTCACTAAATCCGCCAGTGGTAGGAGCAGCTTTGTGACTCTCCTGTCTTCCCACCCTCAGTCCACCTGGAAGGCCGCTGTGGTGGAAGGATGTTTGATTGCAGAGATGTGGTATTCACTGTTGGTGAAGGAGAAGACCATGACATTCCAATTGGAATTGACAAAGCCCTGGAGAAAATGCAGAGGGAAGAACAGTGTATTTTATATCTTGGACCACGGTAAGCAGCACACCAGTTTAGCACACAGTGAAGTTACCTGAAGAAAAAGGATACACTTGTTTTTTTCACTCAGCATTTTGGTGTGTTCTATGAATTTAATACAGCAGTGTAGAAATTTCATTGAGTCAAGTACAGTTTGCCAAGAGCTATGGTGCCTTACACTGCCACAGCAGTTTGTGACAATGTCTACTTGGTTGATGTGTGTTAGGGATAGGATTGACAGGCAAGCTTTGTTTTTCGATGTGATCACCTGCCACCTGGCTAACTCAGGCCACTATTGGCTCCTCTCACAAGTGGCAGGTTCTCTTTTTCTCTTTTCTCTAAATTCATCAGGAGGCAGTAAACACATGTGGGTGTTGGGAGTTAAAGCAGCATTTAGATGTTCTTATATAGAGTCTCCCCTTTTTGGGGGGTGTTTTGTTTTGTTTTGGGGGGGAAAAAAACATGTTCTTCCTGGATCGAAAGGCAATGGAGCTGACTCATTTTTGCCTCAATTTTTCCCATCATAAGGATATCCATTAGCACTTCCAAGCTTAGAACTATCAGACATTGACAGTCTGTCTTGTGAAAACATATTTGGTAGTATTTTTAGATCTAAAATGTTACCATAAATCCAGCCCTGCTCTTGAGAAATGGACCCCTGAGAGGAAGCAGGGTGTTTTGAATCTGTTTGCATGGACATGCATCTGCTTATCTAGTGTGTCCTCCCTCGACCCCATGGCTTTTCCAGTTAGGATTTGAGTTATTGAAACTCTTGGTGACCTGCCCTTGCCATTAGGTACTATTGTGTCTTTTGTACCCTCTTTTGCCTTTGTGTCACCTCTGACCCAAGCCAGTCACCTATGTTCCTTTGTCCTAACACATGGTCCATAATCACATTTCTCAAGTGGTGATGTAACTACCACCTATCCTTTTAAAACTCCCTTGAAAATGCTTCTACCCTGAGTTCTAAAGCCTTTTCTGAAGCATCTTTTATGTAATCTCTTTCTCTACCCTGTTCCTTATTCCACTACTGTATTCTTACTTCAGTGTATTTTATTAACAGCTACTTGTTCCTGTAGAAGCTGTTTGTCTCTGGAGAGAATTTTCTTTCTTTCTTTCTTTCTTTCTTTTTTTTTTTTTTGTCAGTCGTGGGGCCTGAACTCTGGGCCTGGGTGCTGTCCCTCAGCTCTTCAGCTGAAGGCTAGCACTCTACCACTTGCACCTCAGCCCCACTTCCGGCTTTTTCTGCTTATGTGGTGCTGAGGAATCAAACCCAGGGCCTCATGCATGCAAGGCAAACACTCTACCACTGAGCCACCTTCCCAGCCCTGGAGAGAATTTTCTTTTACTCAGTGCAAGCTCTCTTCTCTGTGTCCATATCCAGATAACCTCTAATTACTTTTAAACTAGCAGTCCAATATTGTCATAACTCTGACCTCACAGAGAAAGGGTGTGATTTACAATCTAGTATATTTACAAATTTAAGCTCCTGAAGAGAATAAATTTTTATATGGGCTGTAAGAATGTAATGCTGTAAGAGTCAGCTCATTATATTTTAAAATATAACCTAGCTAATAAGGCAGTTATTGGGGGCAAATGTTGCAGATGTAATAGCACAAAGGAATAGAAATTACATTTAGCACTCCAAGTAGTTTCTTGCAGGTTTGAACTGTTGAATCAGCTGTGTGCAGTTGGGTTCACTACTGAACTCGCCAAAGCCTTCCTTAACTCCCCCTCCGTAACTGGGGAAACCAGTGTTGACCTCATAAGCCAGTCATGCTGGTCACTCAGTCAACTCACCAGCAGTAGACACCCTCAAGAAATTAACCAGTATTGCTTTTGCAGTAGATGGCCATCTTTCTCTTCCATTTTTCCCTTCTCTTCCTTGGGCCACCAGAGAAAAGAAATTACATTTAAGACATGATAGATTTTCATATCATTTCTAGCATGAAAGTAGTCAACAGGTTTTCATAAATTCTTATGTCTATATAAGTTTTCATTACTTTCTTTTCAAGTTATTGATTATGTTGAGAAGTTGTGCTAAGTCCATTCTCTATGACCTGACACCTGCACATGTGTGTGCAATACTGCACACCTTCCATACCGAGCCTGTTCGGTGTCCATGCGGCAAATTCCCTTGTCTTCTTTACATCCCTCCTTCCCATTCAGTATTGCATCTGAGAGGTGCTGTGATGTGGCTGTTGCAAAATTTGTTTTTTTTTTGTTGTTGTTTTGTGGGGTTTTTTTTGGGGGGGGGGTCCAGTTGTGGGGCCTGAACTCTGGGCCTGGGCTCTGCCCCTCAGCTCTTCAGCTCAAGGCTAGCGCTCTACCACTTGAGCCACAGCACCACTTCCGGCTTTTTTTCTTTTTGTTTATGTGGTACTGAGGAATCGAACCCAGGGCCTTAGGCATGCAAGGCAAGTGCTCTACCTCTGAGCCACCTTCCCAGCCCCTGTTGCAAAATCTGTACCCTTAATGTCTTCTGTATTTTATTCTCCATAAAACTTCCAAGGTGTGATGGAGTCTAATTATGAAGCAGTATAAGTCAAAAGATTAAACTATCTTCTCAGGACACACAGAGTCTGAGTTTAAATCCTGACTGCTGCTGCCTCGGGGGGGGGGGGGGGGTGCGGGGGGGGGGGACGGGGGACAGCTTCTCAAGAAGCGCTTCTCGCTGAGCCTCCATTTCTTCATCTGTAGAAATGAAACAGTTGGTACAAGAACTTTACATGAAAGTGCTTCTTGATAGACATGAAGACCTAATGGCCTCTATGGTCATTTTTTGATCTTTTACTCTCAGGTGACAACTAGTAATGCAAGGACATTAATACCAAATTTCTTCTGTTACAGTAGCTCAGTTTATCTCTTGGTTAGGTCTTGGCATATCTATCATTTGTAGTGATGTTTTTCAGCCAGTTAAATTGTGTGGCCCAGGTCCTTTTTCTTTGCCCAGACCAAGCTAGCATAAGTCAAAACTCCCCGTGCCTCATGGAAGTCAGGGTGACTGTCCTCAGAACAGATTGTTAGGAATTTCTGCCTCCCCAGGATGATGGTTCGCCTACCTCTTGAAAAGATAACTTCACTTTAACCTTTCTTCAGTCTTCTCGAACCCCACTTACAGTAGCTAAGATGGCTTTGGTGCTCCCCTTCCCCAGTCTCACACTCCCACCTCGTTATGGCCCCTTTCCTGGGGCTTCTCTCTCACATTCTGCACCACTGGCATAATTATTGGGAGCCAAGACTGCCCTATGCAGTGTAGGACATTCAACTGTTTCTGAGCATTGCCAGATGTCACCTGGCAAGGAAGGGTTAAAAATGCCCTGATTGCCGGGCACTGGTAGATCATGTCTGTAATCCTAACTACCCAGAAAGCTAAGATCTGAGGATCACGGTTCAAAGCCAGCCTGGGCAGGAAAGTCCGTGATATTCTTATCTCCAGTAAACCACCTGAAGTAGCGCTTGGCTCAAGTGGTAGAACACTAGCCTTGAGCTGAAGAGCTGAAAGGATAGCACCCAGGCCCAGAGTTCAAGCCCCACGACCTACAGAAAAGAAAAAAAAAAGTCCTGATTAAAAACCACTGATCAAAGATGAATGACACACAGTTGCTTTTTTTCTTCTTAGCACAGGACTCAAAATCATCATGTGCCTACTGGTTATTGCATTCTTTTTATTTCTTTGCTAAAGGTACACCCTTTGCCCTATTGTTAAGTTACCACACCCTGTTCCTGCCAGGTCTCTTTGTGCCTCTCTTTGCTTCAGCTTCCATTTTCTTTCTTTTTCTTTCTTTTTTTTTTTTTTTTTTTGGTCGGTTTTGGGGCTTGAACTATGGGTCTGGGCGCTCTCTCTCAGCTCTTGAGATCAAGGCTAGCACTCTACCACTTGAGCCACAGTGCCACTTCCAGTTTTCTGAGCGGTTTATTGGAGATAAGAGTCTCTTGGCCTTTCCTGTCTGGGCTGGCTTTGAACCAGGATCCTCAGATCACAGCCTCCTGAGTAGCTAGGATTACAGGCATGAGCCACCATGCAGGCTTCAACTTCCATTTTCTTTTTTTTTTTTTGTCAGTCGTGGGGCCTGAACTCTGGGCCTGGGTGCTGTCCCTCACCTCTTCAGCTCAAGGCTAGCGCTCTACCACTTGAGCCACAGCGCCACTTCCAGCTTTTTCTGCTTATGTGGTGCTGAAGAATTGAACCCAGGGCCTCCTGCATGCAAGGCAAGCGCTCTACCACTGAGCCACTTTCCCAGCCCTTCAGCTTCCATTTTCTTGATTAACTGTGGAGGTCAATGAGTAAGCATTTATTCTGAGGAAATGAGGCAAGAGGTAAAGAAAATAGAACAAGCAACAGAATGTGTGTATTCTTGTTCCTTTGCCCCAGAGACCACTGGGTGTGTCAGCATCAGCCCAGTTTTGACATCTTTCACAACACATACCCTGAAAGCTTGAGTTGATCTTCTGTAATATCATTTCATACATTCAAAAGTAGTTTGGGACTGAAGGCATGGCTTAGCCATTAGGATGTCTGCCTAGCAAATGTGAGGACTGAAATTCCAACCATACTATGCTAGTAAAAAACAGTAGTTTAGCTTAGCAGATAGAATATATTTTGTTGAATACTTGACTAATATGCTGGGCATATTAGGGAGCCCCTGGAACCAGACAAGTAGAACTCCTCTACCAAAGACCCATTCATTCTAGCAAGTATATGCTTCTTGTATAGTTTAAATTTGTTTGAAGCCAGGTTTGAGCCTGGTGGCTCATGCCTATAATCCTAGCTACTCAGGAGGCTGAAATCAGAGGATCACAGTTTGAAGCCAGCCTGCTCAGGAAGGCCCCGAGACTCCTATCTACAATTTGTAAATGTGGCTCAAAGTGGTAGACCACTAGCCTTGAGCATAAAAAGCTCAGGGACAGTGCCCAGGTGTTGAGTTCAAGCCCCATGACAAACAAAAATATAAATAAACATATATATTGATATCTTAGATGGCTCTAAAAAGTAAATTTGCAAATCCCCAGTTTTTTATCCAGTTTTAGCTAAAAACCGCTCCCATTTTCCAACAGGATAGCTCCATTTTCCAACAGTATATCTCCAGATGAGTGTCTGGGCAGCTATTTTGTATTGTTGTATTATCTGTGTTTCCTGATGTGCCTTTTTGCCTTTCTAATGTGTATTTCCTCATGTTTATTTGATTGGAAGTAGCCAGTAGCTCACACCTGTAATCCTAGCTACTCAGGAGGCTGAGATCTGAAGATCGTGGTTCAAAGCCAGCCCAGGCAGGAAAATCCGTGAAAATCTTATCTCCAATAAACCACTCAGAAAACCGGAAGTGGCACTGTGGCTCAAGTGGTAGAGCTCTAGCCTTGAGCTGTAGAGCTGAGGGACAGTGCCCAGGCCCAGAGTTCAAGCCCCACGACGAAAGAAAGAAATTAAGAAAGAAGGAAATTAAGAAAGAAAGAAAGAAAAAGAACTTGAAGTTTAAAATGTAGGAGAGGGGCTAGGAATGTGGCTTAACAATAGTGTTTGCCTAGCATGCATGAAGCCCTGGGTTTGATTCCTCAGCATCATATAAACAGAAAAAGTCAGAAGAGGCACTGTGGTTCAAGTGGTACAGTGCTAGCCTTGAGCAAAAGAAGGTCAGGGGCAATACACAGGCCCTGAGTTCAAGCCCCAAAACTAACAAAAAAAAAAATGAGAGCTGAGTGCCTGTAGCTCATGCCTGTGATCCTAGCTACTTTGGGGGCTGAGATAGGATCGCAGTTTGAAGCCAACTTGGGGGGAGGGAGGTAAAGACTTTTATCTCCAATTAACCACCAAAAAGCTGGAAGTAGAGGTGTGACTGAAGTGCTAGCCTTGAGCAAAAAAAGCTCAGGGACAGCATCCAAGCCATGAGTTCAAGCCCTAGTGCCGGGGCACACACACATAAAAAGTTAGGAGAGCAGGTATAGTGACACACACCTTTATATAACCACTGTTACTCAGAGGGTGGGAATGGGAAGATCACAATTCAAAGCCAGCTGGAGCAAAAGTTAGACACTCTCAAAGAAGCCAGATACGGTAATCACGCCTGTAATCTCAGGTACTCTGGAGGCAGAAATAGAGAAATTGTCCTTCAAGACCAGCCTAGGAAAAGGTAGCAAGACCCTATTGGAGGGGTGGGGGACTGAGAGAGAAAGAAAACTAAAAGCAAAAGGACTTGAGGATGTAACTCTGGTGATAGAGCCCTGGCCTTGGAAATGTGAAGCCCTGACTTCAATCCCCAGTACCACAAAAAAAAAAAAAAGTTAAAAGCTTCTTGAAGCAAGCACATCTTTCACAAGCACCACTGGAACAGTGTCTGAGTCTTTCTTGCCCTTCCCGCAGAGGGAGTCCAGCAGAGGAAAAGGCAGTGACATATAAGCAGGCCGTGTTAAGCACTACAGGTGTCATGTTACAGGCGGATGTAAAGGAGAAAAGAAAGCCAAATGTTCCCTGGCTTCCCAGAAACCTCAGCAGTGCACTTGGCATGGCGTCCTTGGGTCAGCATTGGCTTTGTCTTTGGGTATCTCTGATGTGTGAAGCTCTCTGTGAACACAGGGCTTCAGAATACCAAAGGGAGAGCCCGGAAGTGATACACCAATTCTTTTAAAGTTTTATTTTTACTCTCCATTTCAGATATGGTTTTGGAGAGGCAGGGAAGCCTAAATTTGGCATTGAACCTAATGCTGAGCTTATATATGAAGTTACACTTAAGAGCTTCGAAAAGGTGAGAAAATCCAACTTCTCTCCATCCTGGTGCTCTCTCCCACCCGCTTCCTTAACTGCCTTGCCAGGTGGTGCGTCACAGTGGGGTTGATTTCCCAGTTGTGCTTTGTCTCCTGTCTCTGCGCTGTTACCAGAGAAGGGACAACTGACCAGCCCAGGAGCTCCGTGTGCTTACTTTGTTTTTATGTGTCAGCCTTTTTTTTTTTTTAAAACTTAACTTGGGTAAAATCCAAGACTTGTTCCCTTATTTGTTCCTAGACTTGTTCTTTTTGTACTTTTTTTTTCCTGGGTTGAAGACAAAAAAAGGTTTATGTACTGCCAAGCTACTCCTTGGGGGCGTGGGGCTCGGCTTTTCAGTGCTGAACGGGCTGTACCCTTCACGGAGTCACGAAGGGGGCCTGTGCTGAAAGCGATGATCCCAAAGGCCCGGCCTGGGGCCACCCTCTGTGTGACCAGGACACAAGAAAGGAATGTAACCGTCCAAGTATAGAAGAGGGAATTTGTCACTTGCCCTGGGTTGAAGAAATGATGCCCCCTTGGAGATCTCTGCAGCCCAGGGTCACTTCTGGAGGCTGCCAGCTTGATTTAACCACAAACACGCAGCATATGCCTGGGCTAGGTATGTTGTCAACAGCAGCCACATGCTTGTGGGACCTGTACCACACCTTCCTGGGGCCCCTCAGTGACGGACTTGTGTATTCCTTTTTTATTCCTATATAGTATGCACCCACCCCTCCCTCCCCCTCCATTCTGTACCTTACTCTGAAGAGAAACTGTTGCCCTATAGGCCTATAGTTTTGATCTAAGAAAGCGAGGGAAGGGCCAGGCATTGGTGGCTCAGACCTATAATCCTAGCTACTCAGGATACTGAGATCTAAGGATCAAGGTTCAAAGCCAGCCCGAGCAGGATCATGCCTAGACTCTGATCTCTAATTAGCCATAACCACCAAATAGCCAAAAGTGGAGCTATGGGTCAAGCTGTGTCCCTTGAGCAAAAAAGCTAAGGGACAGAGTTCAGCACCCTCGTCCCCCCCAGTTCTGACATAAAAAAAAAAAAAGGCCAAAGCTAAAAATCAGGCTTGATGGTACATGCCTATGATGCCGACAACTGAGGCAGGAGAATCACAGGCCACTTGGACTACATAACGAGACTCTGTCTTCAAAAAAAAAAAAAAAGATTGAAGCCTACATGAAAAATTCATAGCTTCCCTTGTTAACTAGGCTTTTAAATAATTGAGCTGAATCATAAGGAGGCCACATGGTTGCCAGAGAAACTAGTATCGTCCTCACTCACTTAAAGCAGAGGCAGGGCGGCTGCAGTACTGGGATCACAGCCTAATTGTTTTTGGATAGAGAGAATTTTACAGTTAGCACCTAAGCTTCTTAACTGCTTTGCCCTATAGTGCACTGACCACACCTTAGGAGAAAGAGCACAGGTAGTTTAGACTAACAGCCAATGGTGAAGTCATGTATTTATGGCTCTGAAGCGACATCTTCGCTGAGCCTTGCTCTCCTAACCTCTTTTATGTGCAAGTCCCCAAGCACACAGATGCAGGTTGTTACTGTTTAGCGCCTGAATGTAACTGGCTGCTGCAAAGACAACTGCTGGGCCTAGAGTTTTGAAAGTTCTATATGGATCTACAACTGTGACTTGACTACAAGTAGTATTCTCATTTTAGGGTTGAAAAACAGGCTTAGAGAAAGTTTGTTAAAATTGTGATTGCTGCTTGCCTGAGGGGAGTGAGGGGGCCTTGTGTTCCTTGGATGGCCTCACCATACCATCTAAAGGTGCACTCTTTTCATGCTCCGCATGGGGCACCTTGGGAAGCGAGTTCTTAAAGCCAACCTGTGACCAGCAGTGACCCAGAGTTTAGCAGCCAGCCAGCGTGCCTGGAGTTGGGGTATCCCTAGAAGTAGCTGGCAACAGCTGATGCATTTCCTCCTGTGCTCATCTAACCATTGCCACAAATTTACACACAGGCCAAAGAATCCTGGGAGATGGACACCAAAGAAAAACTGGAACAGGCTGCCATTGTCAAAGAGAAGGGAACTGTATACTTCAAGGTGTGTGAGTCCCTGTCCAACCCTTTCCATGCCAAAGAATTCACACAAGTGTCCATGGGTTGTGCTGAGATTCCCTACTCTGAATTCTGTCAACACCTTCTTGGTAAGAATAAGCCTCAGTTTTTGTAGGTCTTCTGTTTTCTGTGTAAGGAAAGGTCAGAAAATAATGCATTAATGTAAAAAAGGAAAAAGAACACAAATCTCTCTCCCTCTCCTCCTACACATGGTTTAGATTATAAACTTAGCATATAAGCAGACCAGCTGTGGCATGCCCATCCACTGCTACGGGTCAAGACCTAAAGCATCTTGTTGAGTATATGGCAGAAGTGTTTGTACACTGAAAGCAGAATGAGCGGGCTAATGGTTAGCAAGTAACAGAATTCATAGAGTTCAGTTGCCATCCTTTTCTTTTCCACTCTCCTGGTATAGCCACTAGTTCACAGGATGCAAGAAAAAAGAATGTGTACAGGTCTCTTGTTTTCAAAACAAATTTTAAAAGTTTATTGAAAGAACTGGAGCTGGTGCCTGTAATCCTAACTACTCAGATCTGAGAATTAATGTTCAAAGCAGCCCAGGCAGGAAAGCCTGGGACTCTTACCTCCAATTAATCACCAGAAAACTGGAAGTGGTGCTATGGCTCAAAGTGGAGCACTAGCCTGGAGTAGAAAAAGCTCAGGGACAGCACCGGACCCTGAGTTCAAGTCCTACATCTGATCAGAAAATTTGAATGAAAAAGTGGTGTTACATGTATTTGTCTGTAGATAAAACAAAGGGACTAAGTTCCTTAAGACTCTTTTAATAATACTTTAAAATGAAAAAAGTGAATTCTCTGTACCTATTAAACAGAAAGAAATTTTCACAACACATATCTCCATTTTTTTTAATGTCTTAGCAAGAATTTATTTTAGTATAATGGGGTTAAAGTAGGGAAGAAGGAAAAAAAAAAAAAGAGAGAGAAACATTTCCAACATGGGGAATAGGAAATGGGAGTTAAAAGACAAATTAGCAGTTCTTTTCTGTAGCTTTTGTATTTTCTGAGCTGGACAAATACACGTGGTCACAGCAGTCTAGCAACTGCTAATCCTTAGACAATGGTTTTAGAGAGTAATATGAGTAAAACTGATCCTAGGACCAGGTAATCTTTTTGGACTTTCTTATCTTTACCCATTATAAATTCTCTATTCAAAGGAGGACTTTCTTATCTTTATCCATTATAAATTCTCCATTCTAAGGAGAAGGCAGACTTAGATAGCCTACCCTGAGTCTCCTAATCTTGTAACTTAGCTTTTAAAAGGAGGCCTGTTTGTTGTGGACGAGTATCTTACCAGCTTTTACAGTTTACTTTGTTTTTGTTTTGTTTTTTGTTTTTTTTTGGGTCCGGTCATGGGGCCTGAACTCTGGGCCTGGGCGCTGTCCCTCAGCTCATCAGCTCAAGGCTAGCGCTCTACCACTTGGGCCACAGCGCCACATCCGGCTTTTTTCTTTTTGCTTATGTGGTGCTGAGGAATCGAACCCAGGGCCTCATGCATGCAAGGCAAGCGCTCTACCACTGAGCCACCTTCCCAGCCCCACAGTTTACTTTGTTTTTAACTTTGAGTGTGGCTCTTTTAATACTTGTTAAAAATGATATAGTTTCCCTGTCTCCTTAGCTATCTATCCTGCTTCATTCCCTCCTGTAAATGATTTTGGTCCCTTTTCATTTGAAAAGGCATACCAAAGCGTGACAGTCCTATAGCCATTTCCTGCTGACAGTAGACTACTAACCTACCTGGAAAGGGGGAACCAAAAAAGTCATTTCTCTACCTAACTTAGGAGGTGAGGTGGAAACTCGGTTGGCGGGAAATTTGGTTGACAGCATGTCCCACTCAGGACCAACAGATGATTGGGCTCAGAAGACAGGTTGCACTTTTCACGGTGTGGTGAAAAGGATCACATTTCTATTGACCCTGGTGGGTAACTGGTTGTCTTGCGAGATTTCACTCCTGCCTAAGGCTCACTAGTTTCTATCACCAGAGACAGATGAGAGGTTCCTTCAGCTTCCCCATATCCATGAAAGTCACAGGGTCTTGAGACCCACTCATGAAAAGCATCTTGCAGAAAAGGAGCATTTCACAAGGTGAAAGTTTAGCAAGGATTTATTTTAGTATAACACAGTGAGAGGAGGGAGAAATAGAAAAGGAGAAGCATTTCCTATTCCCCACACAGGAAATAGGAGTTAATGACTCCAAGTAAATGTTGAATATATATTTTGCCAAGAAATACGTCACTACCTATCAGTATTACCATAACTGAACAGAAAAATAAGATACATGGCTGGGAATGTGGCTTAATGGAGAGTGCTTGCCTAGCATGCATGAAAGCCCTACGTTTGATTCCTCAGTACCACATAAGCAAAAAGTGGAAATGGCACTGTGGCTCAAGTGATAGAGCTCTAACCTTGAGCATAGAGTGGCTCAGGGACAGAGCCCAGACCCTGAGTTCAGGCCCAGGAGCAGCAAAAAAAATAAAAAAATAAAGATACCCCAAGACTGGAGTGAAAAACACGGTGCCTGGGGACTACTCACGGCTTTAAGAAAGTGATGGGGATAATACCAATGGCTTCTAATGGCCATGATGACCCCTCACACTCCCTCCACTAAGGAGGCATTGGGCACTCTGGAACATCATAGACTATTCCAGAAACCTTTTTAGTAGCACCTAGTAATGTGAGACTTTCTCCCCACTTTGTTCAACTCTAATCAGAGTGCTTTGCAATGTCAAATGGAAAGGCCATAGTGAGGAGAATTTATTTCTCAAGATTTCTTTCCTTTTGTTCTTGCCACAGCAAACCGTGAAATTAATGATGTTTTTCCAACGGTACGAAGCCGTGGTGCATAAGCATACTGGAACAAGTCTTCCTGAGTAGGTGTTGTAGTGCGTGCCATTTCTCTTACACCTTGTCTGGAGATAGCTGGGTCCATGTTAACCCATTCTTGTGCATGTATAACCAAAATAAAAGCAAGTAATTATCAATGTAGACAGAAGGTAAAGTGGGGATTGTTTTTCAGACTTCAAGTTGAGAACCTCAATTGGGTCCTGAAATCTATTTAGTAAAAGTATAAGTATAGGTGCATAAAACTTTAGTGAAAATCAAATTGTAATTGAAAACATGTTGCAAGTTTATTTACTTATTTTTGGTTGGTTGTGGGGCCTGAATTTCTTTGCGCCTAGGCGCTGTCCTCAGCTCTTTAGCTTAAGGCTAGTGCTCTACCACTAGAGCCACAGAGCCACTTCTGCTTTTTTTTCTGCTTATGTGGTGCTGAGGAATCAAACCCGGGGTCTCGTGCATACAAGGCAAGCATTCTACCACTGAGCCACCTTCCCAGCCCCTTATTTACTTTTTTGTAGTACTGAATTTGAACTCAGGGCCTCACACTTCCAGAGAAACTATTATTTGAGTCATGCCCCTCAGTGCTGCTTTATTTTTTTTTTAAATAGGGCATTGTGTTTTTTCTCAAGATGATACACATTTCAATCCTCCTACTTCCACCTTACACATAGCTGGGGTCACAGTTTTCCTCTGCCACACCAAGCTTTATTGATTGAGATAGGGTTCCACTAACTTTTGGTCAAGACTGATCTCAGATCTGAAATCTTCCTGATCTCTGTCTCTTGACTTGCTAGAGTTACAGGCTTAAGTCACCACACCCAGCCCACAAGTTTATTTTCAGCTCTAAATTTTTGTGGATTTTTTAAAAAATTCACAGTACTAGGGCTGGGAAGGTGGCTCAGTGGTAGAGTGCTTGCCTTGCATGCTTGAGGTCCTGGGTTCGATTCCTCAGCACCACATAAGCAAAAAATAAAAAAGCCGGAAGTGGCACTGTGACTCAAGTGGTAGAGCGCTAGCCTTGAGCTGAAGAACTGAGGGACAGTGCCCAGGCCCAGAGTTCATGCCCTATGACCACACCCAAAAAAAAAAAATTCACAGTGCTGGGGCTGGGAAGGTAGCTCAGTGGTAGAGTGCTTGCTTTGCATGCATGAGACCCTGGGTTCAATTCCTCAATAGCACATAAGCAAAAAAGAAAAAAGCCAGAAGTGGCGCTGTAGCTCAAGTGGTAGAGCGCTAGCCTTGAGCTGAAGAGCTGAGGGACAAGTGCCCAGGCCCAGAGTTCAGGCCCCACGACCGGACCCAAAAAAATAAAAAAATTCACAGTACTGAGGTTTGAGCTCAAGGCTTCACACAGGCTAGCATGAGCTCCACTACTTGAGTCACGCTTCCAGCCCTTTTTGCTCTGGTTGTTTTTTGAGATAGACTCTGGACCACATTCCTCCTATTTACACTTTGCACCGTACCTAGGATAACAAACATGCACCACCATGCCTAACATTTTCTATTGAGACAGGAGTCTTGTAAACTTTCTTTCCTGGCTGGCCTAGCACTACAGTCCTCTTAGTCTCAGTCTTTCATGATAGGTACACACCACTCCGCCCCGCCATTGGCTAGAGGGGTCTTGGAAACTTTTCAGGCCATGTTGATCTTGAATCTTGAGTCCTCCTGATTTCCTAAGTAGCTAGAGTTAAGGCATCAGCCACTAGTACCTGGCCAAGAACTTCTAAATTCATGAGAACAAGCTTTATCTTTTAAAGAATATCCTAATTGAGACATATTATGTTATTTGAGTCAGATAATTTGAGTCAGATATTAAGTGGATTGTTTTCCCAGATTACACAGTACACTAGAATAACAGATTTCTGTACAATTTTTATTTTTATTTATGTATTTATTTATTTAGGTCTTGGGGCTTGAACTCTGGGTGTGGGCGCTATTCCTACATTCTTCAGCTCAAGGCTCTACCACTTGTACAGCACCACTTCTGATTTTCTAGGGGCTAATTGGAGATAAGAGTCTCATGGAGTTTCCTGCCCGGGCTGGCTTTGAACCATGATCCTCAGATCTCAGCTTCCTGAGTAGCTAGGATTACAGGTGTGAGCCACTGGTGCCTGGCTTCTGCACAATTTCT